AGACCTTGTACAAAGGGCGTAGTTCAAGCTAATCTGTCGGTAATGTCGTTGTGTGCCAATCCGTCTAATTAAATATAAAAATATTCTTTGATATCGGACATCAACTAATCAGTTCATTCAACGCATCGTGTCCACCAGAAGAAAAGAGGGAAATCGAATCTTTATAATAGCACAAACATACCTCCAATCCTCTTGTCGGATTAGATCTGTGATATTTAGAAGAGAACGTAGACAGGAAGTTACAAAGGTATCTTGTATAATCGTTAAATCAACGGGTTCTGTTTATCCTGCGTTCTTATCGACGTTAATCTTTGTGACCTTTATAAAACTAAATGTAGCAACGTCCAATGTATCGGGTATTCCAGAAAGACCAAAAGCATTGGTTAACGTGATGCAGAAACAAGATCGATGGAAAGTTAATGTATACTATGTTATTTTTTTTACTCCTATGAAATAACAATGGATGTATCCACGTAATCTCAATACATTAGCATTAGTGTGGTGTTACATGTTCTGTGTATTTAGTGAAACTGATTTGAGCGCCACTTCACTTCATCACGTCTGGAGGATGGATAGTCTTCTGAGAGTCCTAAATAGTTCCTTGTGTTTGTATGTCATGCTCTTTGGTAAGTCAGATGAGCTGAAAGCCAGGAAGCTATTATACGCAGACACGACAGAGAAGGGTAGAAACACAAACAGAAAAAGACCAATAGACAGACAGAAACATAGACATACTAACATACACAAACATGTAGTCACAGTGACAGACCGAGAGAGGGAGACATTAAAAGAGGCAGACAGACAGACAGAAACATAGACATACTCACATACACAAACATCTAGTCACAGTGACAGACAGAGAGAGGGAGACATTAACGGAGATAGACAGACAGAAACATAGACATACTCACATACATTGTCATCTAGTCACAGTGATAGAACGAAAAACAGAGACATTAACGGAGACAGACAGAAACATAGACATACTCATATACACGGAGACATTAACGGAGACAGACAGAAAGAAACATAGACACACTCACATACACAGCCATCTAGTCACAGTGACCGAACGAGAGACGGAGACATTAACGGAGACGGACAGACCGAACCAGACATACTCACATACACAGCCATCTAGTCACAGTGACCGAACAAGAGACGGAGACATTAACGGAGACAGACAGAAAGAAACATAGACACACTCACATACACAGCCATCTAGTCACAGTGACAGAACGAGAGACGGAGACATTAACGGAGACAGACAGAAAGAACATAGACACACTCACATACACAGCCATCTAGTCACAGTGACCGAACGAGAGAGGGAGACATTAACGAAGATAGACAGACAGAAACATTGACATACTCACATACATTGTCATCTAGTCACAGTGATAGAACGAAAAACAGAGACATTAACGGAGACAGACAGACAGAAACAAAGACATACTCACATACATTGTGATCTAGTCACAGTGATAGACCGAAAAACAGAGACATTAACGGAGACAGAAGAAACATTGACATACTCACATACATTGTCATCTAGTCACAGAGATAGAACGAAAAACAGAGACATGAACGGAGCCAGACAGACAGAAACATAGACGCACTCACATACATATAGACAGACAGAAACATTGACATACTCACATACATTGCCATCTAGTCACAGTGACCGAACGAGAGACGGAGACATTAATGGAGACAGACAGACAGAAACATAGACACACTCACATACACAGCCATCTAGTCACAGTGACCGAACGAGAGACGGAGACATTAATGGAGACAGACAGACAGAAACATAGACACACTCACATACATTGCCATCTAGTCACAGTGACAGACCGAGAAAGGGAGAAATTAAAAGAGACAGACAGACAGACAGAAACATAGACATACTCACATACATTGTCATCTAGTCACAGTGACAGAACGAAAAACAGAGACATTAACGGAAACAGACAGAAACATAGACACACTCACATACACAGCTATCTAGTCACAGTGACAGACCGAGAGACGGAGACATTAACGGAGACAGAAAGTAACATAGACACACTCACAAGACATTAACGGAAACAGACAGAAACATAGACCCACTCACATACACAGCTATCTAGTCACAGTGACAGAACGAAAAACAGAGAAATTAACGGAAACAGACAGAAACATAGACCCACTCACATACACAGCTATCTAGTCACCGTGACAGACCGAGAGACGGAGACATTAACGGAGACAGGCAGACAGAACCAGACATACTCCCATACACAGCCATCTAGTCACAGTGACCGAACGAGAGAGGGAGACATTAGAAAAGACAGACAGACAGACAGAAACATAGACATACTCACATACATTGTCATCTAGTCACAGTGACAGAACGAAAAACAGAGACATTAACGGAGACAGACAG